CTAAAAGGCCACATTTGGCAGGTGCGCATATCCATTTTTCAACTTGGAATTTTGACATGTAGTCAACCTGCGCACATGTCCTATTTGGGACATTTGTAAGGCCGGCCAATGTATTTTACCCCCACCAAACCATATATTTTTGGAAAGTAGACACCCTAGGGTATTTCAAATGGTGGTTTTTAACACTTTCCATGCACTAATTCTACCACCAGACTTTGTCAAACATTTAGGTAGTCATTTTTTGTGTGTTTTTTTTCACACACATTGTACTTTAGGCATGAATTAACAAATCGTGTTATGTGTCACTGCCAAACAACACACCAATATGTGTTCAGCAACATCTCCTGAGTACAGTGATACCACCCATGCATAGGCTTGTCGGATTGTTTGGGGGCTAAAAGGCCACATTTGGCAGGTGCGCATATCCATTTTTCAACTTGGAATTTTGACATGTAGTCAACCTGCGCACATGTCCTATTTGGGACATTTGTAAGGCCGGCCAATGTATTTTACCCCCACCAAACCATATATTTTTGGAAAGTAGAAACCCTAGGGTATTTCAAATGGTGTTTTTTTTTTAACACTTTCCATGCACTAATTCTACCACCAGACTTTGTCAAACATTTAGGTAGTCATTTTTTGTGTGTTTTTTTCACACACATTGTACTTTAGGCATGAATTAACAGATCGTGTTATGTGTCACTGCCAAACAACATGCCAATATGTGTTCAGCAACATCTCCTGAGTACAGTGATACCACCCATGCATAGGCTTGTTGGATTGTTTGGGGGCTAAAAGGCCACATTTGGCAGGTGCGCATATCCATTTTTCAACTTGGAATTTTGACATGTAGTCAACCTGCGCACATGTCCTATTTGGGACATTTGTAAGGCCAGCCAATGTATTTTACCCCCACCAAACCATATATTTTTGGAAAGTAGAAACCCTAGGGTCTTTCAAATGGTGTTTTTTTTTTAACACTTTCCATGCACTCATTCTACTCCCAGACTTTGTCAAACATTTAGGTAGTCATTTTTGTGTGTGTTTTTTTCACACACATTGTATTTTAGGCATGAATTAACATATCGTGTTATGTGTCACTGCCAAACAACACCCCAATATGTTTTCAGCAACATCTCCTGAGTACAGTGATACCACCCATGCATAGGCGTGTTGAGTTGTTTGGCAGCTAAAAGGCCACATTTGGCAGGTGCGCATATCCATTTTCCCACTTGGAATTTTGACATGCAGTCAACCTGCGCACATGTCCTATTTGGGACATTTGTAAGGCTAGCCAATGTATTTTACCCCCACCAAACCATATATTTTTGGAAAGTAGAAACCCTAGGGTATTTCAAATGGTGGTTTTTTAACACTTTCCATGCACTAATTCTACCACCAGACTTTGTCAAACATTTAGGTAGTCATTTTTTGTGTGTGTTTTTCACACACATTGTACTTTAGGCATGAATTAACAGATCGTGTTATGTGTCACTGCCAAACAACACCCCAATATGTGTTCAGCAACATCTCCTGAGTACAGTGATACCACCCATGCATAGGCTTGTCGGGTTGTTTGGGGGCTAAAAGGCCACATTTGGCAGGTGCGCATACCCATTTTTCAACATGGAATTTTGACATGCAGTCAACCTGCGCACATGTCCTATTTGGGAAATTTGTAAGGCAGGCCAATGTATTTTACCCCCACCAAACCATAAATTTTTGGAAAGTAGAAACCCTAGGGTATTTCAAATGGTGTTTTTTTTTTAACACTTTCCATGCACTCATTCTACCCCCAGACTTTGTCAAACATTTAGGTAGTCATTTTTTGTGTGTGTTTTTTCACACACATTGTATTTTAGGCATGAATTAACAGATCGTGTTATGTGTCACTGCCAAACAACACCCTAATATGTGTTCAGCAACATCTCCTGAGTACAGTGATACCACCCATGCATATGCTTGTCGGATTGTTTGGGGGCTAAAAGGCCACATTTGGCAGGTGCGCATATCCATTTTTCAACTTGGAATTTTGACATGTAGTCAACCTGCGCACATGTCCTATTTGGGACATTTGTAAGGCCAGCCAATGTATTTTACCCCCACCAAACCATATATTTTTGGAAAGTAGAAACCCTAGGGTCTTTCAAATGGTGTTTTTTTTTTAACACTTTCCATGCACTCATTCTACTCCCAGACTTTGTCAAACATTTAGGTAGTCATTTTTGTGTGTGTTTTTTTCACACACATTGTATTTTAGGCATGAATTAACATATCGTGTTATGTGTCACTGCCAAACAACACCCCAATATGTTTTCAGCAACATCTCCTGAGTACAGTGATACCACCCATGCATAGGCTTGTTGGGTTGTTTGGGGGCTAAAAGGCCACATTTGGCAGGTGCGCATATCCATTTTTCAACTTGGAATTTTGACATGTAGTCAACCTGCGCACATGTCCTATTTGGGGCATTTGTAAGGCCAGCCAATGTATTTTACCCCCACCAAACCATATATTTTTGGAAAGTAGACACCCTAGGGTATTTCAAATGGTGGTTTTTTTTAACACTTTCCATGCACTAGTTCTACCACCAGACTTTGTCAAACATTTAGGTAGTCATTATTGTATGTTTTGTTCACACACATTGTACATTAGGCATGAATTAACAAATCGTGTTATGTGTCACTGCCAAACAACATGCCAATATGTGTTCAGCAACATCTCCTGAGTACAGTGATACCACCCATGCATAGGCTTGTCGGATTGTTTGGGGGCTAAAAGGCCACATTTGGCAGGTGCACATATCCATTTTTCAACTTGGAATTTTGACATGTAGTAAACCGGCGCCTCTGTCCTATTTGGGCCAATGTATTTTACCCCCATCAAACCATATATTTTTGAAAAGTAGACAACTCAGGGTATTATAAATGGTGGTAGTTTAATACTTTTAATGCAATAATTCTAACACCAGCCTTTGGCAAACTTTTGGGTAGTAATTTTCTTCGTGTTTTTTTACACATACATTGTACTTTAGGCATGAATTAACAGATCCTGTTATGTATCACTGCCAAACAACATCCCAATATGTGTTCAGCAACATCTCCTGAGTACAGTGATATCACCCATGCATAGGTTTGCTGGGTTGTTTGGGGGCTAAAAGGCCACAATCGAGACTTGTACATATCAGTTTTTCAACTTGATATATAGGTATGCTTGGCCTGTCTTCAGTTTGGCATATTTCCATCCCCCCGTTAATGTTAACATCATGAAAGTTTATATTTTTATAAAGTAGACATTCCAGGGTATTGTATATGAGTTGTTTTCACATCCTTCCCCCAACCATTGTGCTAAACAAATTTCAGAGAACGTGCATGGTGGTAATTTTTGAATTCTGCTATTTATGCACACGTCATCTGGTTTTGGCCAGCCAGTTATATGTTACTACCATAAAACTTTTTTAACCAAATGTGCAGGTATCAAATGCACCTTTCGCAGCATTCTCTAAACTAACTGCTGCAAAAAGAATCTAACTGGAGATTTGGGGGGAAGGAAACTGAGTAACTAAAATTTGCTGCTTTCAAAAGAAAAAAAAAACAGTGCACAGAGGTGTCTGTCCTTTTCCCTTTTTTATAACAGACCCAGCAACATTTCAGGGGATTTGTTTTTTTTGCAGTTGGCGGTATCTTAAAAATAAAATGTCTGGACTCCTCTGGCACCGTTGTTGGAACTTGACCATCTCCATAAATTATTGTGGAAATCAACTTGAACTAAAATTGGAGAAAGGTGGTTCTTTCTGGATTCATTTTTTTTTTTTTTTTAATTCTTTATTTATGTTGTGCAGATTATTACAGGTTGTCAACATACGCCACAACAGCGTGTTTCAAGAGTTACATATGTTAGACTGTGACATAGAAGTTCGCACTTTTTTTTTTTTTTTTTAAATGTAAGTAACAAGCTTTACTACGCGTTTATATTGTCAGAGTAGCCTTAAATGAATAGTTTTTAGCATTGCTAGGTTGGCTATTCTAGTGTAGTGATAATACAATCTATTACACCGTATAACAATAGCTGGGTTCTGTGTAATGCATAGGTAAGTCACGCTCTACAAACATAGGCTATAAGGCGTTAAAGAGTTGGTAAATTTCGCTAAGTCGTACCTATAGCGTCAGGTAACATCGCTTAAACTATCTAAACATAAGGAAACGTACAAAATGTTAGGTCAACAGTTAACTAGACTTTAAGCCACTGGGAGTTGGTTTCAGCATGGTTAACAGTCCCATCACCGCTAAGGGTAAGAGTTAAAACCGAAGCATAGTCTACTTGGGGGGGTGCATCAGGCCTCTGTGTCTGGGTACTTAGCTGTTGTGGGGGCTCTGAACATGCCTGGCTAAAGACAGCAATACCCTTGGGAGGCAGTATGGTGGGCGCTTCAGCCTATGCCTTGCGCTGGAGTGTCCCAGAGGTTGGTGTTAGGGTCCCCTTTAATGGTGTCTCTGCAGTGGAATCTAGCTTCGTCCATAAGCTGTATGGTGTGCTCTTGTGTTGCGCCCCGGTTGGAGGCTGTAATCCTAAGGGGCAGAAGTGCGCCATGCTGGTTTCTGGTGTCTCTGCAGTGGAATCTAGCTCTGTCCATAAGCTGTATGGTGTGCTCTTGTGCTGCTACCCGGTTGGAGGCTGTAATCCTAAGGGGTAGAAGTGCGCCTTATCCTCTGACTGCTAATTTCTGGCACTGTGCCTTGGAGCCGGATCCTGCGCTTGTCGGTGCTGGTGCAGATTCGACCTCAGGATCGCTGAGGGGGTTAAATCTTCGTGCTGTGAGGTGATACTCTGCACGGCTCACGGAGTTGTGGTTTGCGTGTCGGGCGCCAGCTCTGACTGTCGGGAGTTGGAACGTGAGTGTCTGTGGCATATCCCTGGTAGGTGTGTTAGAAGTGGGCACCGTTCCGGCTTTAGTGTGATGTCAGTTTCGGGCACGGTCAGCCGCCATTTTGTTGCAGGGTGCTGGGTAGGCCCGTGTTGTAGTGCAGCTTCAGACTCTCCAGTGGAGGCCGGGATGACCCCCACCGGCCCAAAGGGGGGGGAAACGGGGCTGGTCACCGCACCAAAGAGAAGGTGTGTGGCATCAGAAGGGAGGGGGAGAGCGGGACAGCGGCCGTCTGCACCGCTTCTCCTCCGAGTAGGCCGCAAACTCCAAAGCCTTAGATCACCCCTGCGGGCTCCAAAACTCCCGATCTCAGAGTCCACTGCGATGTCCACTGTCGTGTACCAGCTGCAGGTAGATTTTTTAACTTGAATTTGGTGTTTGAGCTGTGTTTTCCAGCCAAATTGACAGAATGCCCCTGGAGCTTCTCCTACATGCGACCGGTCAGCATGGCGGCCCGGCCCCGCCCCCTGGATTCATTTTTTTAAAGAGTAAAAATGAATTATGTGTTGCTACTTGCATCGGGTAGATAGCCACCTTTTTATACCAGGCTTTTGTCTTCCTTAAGATAAGATATGGCTGCATCAGCTGATCAGCCAAGTCAACACCCCCATGTGCATTTTATAAGCCTTGATGCAAACAGGTTTTGTCTGTACTCTGCCTCGGACAGTGACGTCTGACATGCTTTCGTCATGGATGGTGGTTAGTATATTAACATCCTTCCTGTCCTTAAATTTTATTGCAAGCACTTTAGCTTTGTGCAGACCTTTACATTCACTTTTTTTTTAATTTGGCATCTATAAAAGGTCTGGGGAAATCCTTGGCATATCTTCTCACACTGCCACAGGCCAGTATCTAGAAACCCTAAAGAGTTTGAAACAAACGGACAATGCTAAAAAAATTGTCCACATAAAGGTGGTAACCCTTATTGAACAAGGGGATCAGTAAGTCAAAAACAAGTTTCCCGCTTGTCCCCAGAGAGTCAGGACAGCCAGGAGGGTTCAGTTGAGCATCTTTTCCCTCATATACACGAAAGGCAAATGTGTAGCCACTTTCGACCTCGCACAGTTTGTACACTTTAATGCCATACCTAGACCACTTTGAGGGGATATACTGTTTGAACCCTAATCTCCCTTTATATTTCATAAGGGATTCATCAATAGATAAATTTTGTTGGGGAGTATAAACTTCAGAAAATCTGTTCTGAAGATGGTCTACCAGTGGGCGTATTTTATGAAGCCTATCATATTGGGGGTGATCTCTAGGGTGACAGAGCGTATTGTCGTTTAAATGTAAGTATCTCAGCAGCAGCTCATATCTTGGTCTAGGCATTGTTTGGGAGTATATAGGAGTCGAACAAATTGGCTTGGTGCTCCAGTAAGAGTGGATTGATGGCTTCTTTATTATCCCCATGAGCATGGTAAGAGCCCAGAATGTTTTAAGTTCAGGGACATCTGTGGGATGCCAAGCATGCTCCCTGACTGTATAGCTACCTGGATTGGTCTCAATAAATTGGCTAGCGTATAAATTAGTCTGGGAAACAATCTCCTCCCAGATGGTATCCCCTAAAAATAACTCCATATATTGTATAGGGAGAAGTCAACCACATTCACATTAATGCCTGCGTTGGCACTAAAAGGGGGATGTTGGGCTCAGCTGAGGTACCCAGTCCTCCTCCACATTCGGCGTAGCAGGGGAAGCACAGCTTCTTTTAGCAGCTGGCTCACACACAGATGACATGTCACTAGACATGCCGCTAAACTGACCTGGATCAAAATCGGACGCAGTGTCAGTGGCGTCAGAGTCTGACGCCAAGAAGGCATATGCCTCCTCCAAGCTGTACATGCGCTGCATGTTTTCACACTAACAGACTAAACTAACAAACACTAAACACAATAAATTATTTTTATTTTTTTTATTTTTTTTACACTAAAACAGACTAAAACAGTAATCCCTAAACTAACTCCTGTTAGAAGAATCTAATGGAGATTTGGGGGAAGGAAACTGACTGACTACGACAGACTAAGACAGACTACGACAGACTAAGACAGTCTAAGACAGTCTAAGACACAGATTTTTAAAAATAAAGTTAACCCTTAAGGGCAAAAAAAAAATGCAGACAGTACAAATGCACTGTCTGTAACAGATCTGGCAGGGAAGGGGTCAAAAGGGAATTTTTATTAACTGCTGATAATAATCTCTGGAACACCTGCTGCAACAAACTATCACGATCTCTGTCTCTCTCCCCTCACAAAACGCTACAGAGAGGAGGAGATCAGTGTCAAAGTGAGTGTTTGCAACACCCACTTTGACACCAGCCAATTGTAAACAGTAATTGGCTGTTACTATCTGCCTGGGATGCCGGGCAGATAGTAACAACAGGATTTCGGCGGAAGTGATCTCCGATCGCTCCCGCCGCCCGTTTTCCGTTAGGGCGGTTCAGGACCGTCCTCGGTCGGCAACGCAAAAATGCCGATGACGGTCCTGAACCGTCCTGCGTCCTGAAGGGGTTAAAGTTAAAACCCTAGAGTATTTTCAAATGTCTATATATGCTGAAAAAAGAGTAAACAATTTCTCTTTGGGGCAAACTTTAAACCTTTATTTAAAACCTTAATTTCTTCTACGTGATTGGATAAGTTTATTATTCCATCTGATCGGATGTCCTCCCTCTTTTTCCGGAGTAATCATGTCCTCTTTTGGGGGGATAATGCAAAATTTCTCATTTGTCTCCCTAAAAAAACTTCATTGCTACAACTTGGATGGTTGTCTGAGAGAGCATCAAATCTGTTGGTCAACTGAATATTATTCCCCCTAAATGTTTGAGGTGGACTTTGTTTACTTCTGTTAAAATTTCTATATTTTGGTCTGACCTCTGTCCATTCTCTTTCATTTCTATTTCTGGGTGTGGACCATTTCTGACGTGCCCCCTCATCTATGCTATTAATCATTTCCCTCCTTATTTGTCTCCTTGGTTCCTGTTGTCTTATATTAGAATCATCACTTTTTCTGTCAGTATTTTTACTCCAGTTATGAACTGTTTTATTTCTATAATCATTTTTATCTCTCTTATACTTACGTTGTTTAACCATTTTAACCTGTTCCTCCAATTTGTCTAAATTAGTCATGGTTCTTTCACTTAGCTCGTTAAAATCTCTAGTACCAGTCCGGTTTCAACTTTTTTGGATCTCTTTAATATATTTATCTAATTGTGTTAGAGATTCTACCCTGCAGGCCACAACAATACTCATCATCTCTGTGGCAAACCTTTCTAATACCGCATTCCATATGTCTATATACTTTTGATTATTTCCCCCTTCAAATGTTGGTGTTTTTGAGAATCTTAGTCCTCCAGGGGTAATTTTAATCAGCAAGATATTTCTCTAGAGTGGCAACTTCCCATTTATATTTCATCTCTTTAGATAAAAGTTTTTCGAAATTTATAAAAACAATTTCAATATCATCAATTCTTAGTCATTCTAATCTTTCCAGTATCAGATGGCAAAAAAAGCTGCCTTAGTGGTTGTGGAGACTATAGCCTACCTCTTTAATATAAACACTGCCTTTTCAGAGAATCAATGCAGGTGGGCCCAGCCTCTGCTAGACCGTCGCGGCGCGGGAGAATTTTATTTTATTTTTTTTTAAAACCTTTTCAATGCGATTGGGTGGGGAGGCAGGGAGTTAAATAGTTGGTTTAACACTATGGTTTTCGTTTAAGGAAAAATAATTATGGCAAAGCCAGATGTTGTTGGGTATAACACTTGATTGAAATATGATTAATAATAAAAAATAAATATGATTAACAATAAAAAATAAAAAATGAAATATGATGATGTAATTAACAGATAAATTAAAGCTGTGTATAAATATTTAAGGAATGCATAACAACGTATGCACATTATATTGAAATATAGAATGTGACGGCAGATAAGAACCATTCGGCCCGTCTAGTCTGCCCAATTTTCTAAATACTTTTATTAGTCCCTGACCTTATCTTATAGTTAGGATAGCTTTATGCCTATCCCACGCATGCTTAAACTCCTTTACTGTGTTAACCTCTACCACTTCAGCTGGAAGGCTATTCCATGCATCCACTACCCTCTCAGTAGAGTAATACTTCCTGATATTTTTAAACCTTTGCCCCTCTAATTTAAGACCATGTGCTCTTGTTGTGGTAGTTTTTCTTCTTTTAAATATAGTCTCCTCCTTTACTGTGATGATTCCCTTTATATATTTAAATGTTTCTATCATATCCCCCCTGTCTCGTCTTTCCTCCAAGCTATACATGTTAAGATTCTTTAACCTTTCCTTGTAAGTTTTATCCTGCAATCCATGAACCAGTTTAGTAGCCCTTCGCTGAACTCTCTCGAAAGTATCAATATCCTTCTGGAGATACGGTCTCCAGTACTGCATTCAATACTCCAAGTGAGATCTCTATCTATAACAGCCCGATAAATCATTGCGCCATATGTAATATGTAAGGCTGTCTTCTTGCCACCCCAGATAAACCCACACGCCAATATATATATATATATATATATATATATATCTTGACAAATTTGCTACAAATTATTTATTTATAAAATATTTTAAGAGGAAAGATACATTGAGATTTCTCTCATTTTCAAGTATGTCCTCGGTCCACAAATCATTGCATTGTTATAATTAGGGTACAATAAAATACAAAAACAATCTAGGAGCCAGCAAAAAAATTTAGGAGCCAGGTTTTTCAATGCCCAAAAAAAACTTCTTAAATGGCCACTATAGTCACCAGAACAGCTTAATGCAGTTGTTCTTGTGTCTATAACCTGTCTCTCCACACTTTTAAATGTAAACCCTGCCTTTTCAGAGAAAAGGCAGTATTTACATTGTTACCTAGTAACACTTCTAGTGAAAGTCACTTCAGCGGTCCCTAGAGTGCATCCCGGGTCAGTGTTGCACAGTATGCAGCATTTACGTCTAGCGTCTCCACGCTCTGCTTGGAGGCGCTGAATGTTCCCCATAGAGATGCATTCATTCAGTTCATCTCTATGAGGAGATGCTGATTGGCACAGCATGTGCAATAGCCTCCCAAAGCTTTCCTATGGGAAAGCATTGGATTGGCGGAGATCATCAATATTGATGATTGCAATCATTGAAGCAGGGCCAGCTGCGGCGAGACCAACACTTACCCGTGTGATTGGAGGGGGACCGGTCACCTAAACACTCACTCGCTCACTGACACACACACAGGCACACCCACACAAGCAAGCTCACTCACTAGCAGGCACACACACAAGCTTACTCACTAGCATCTTGTGATTATGAGCAGTTTGTAATAAACATGGTCTAGATATT